GCAAAGCAAGTCAGACCATGAAAGACAGAGTCCGTATGTCCCCACTCAATATATACCGATTATTTGCGGTCTACAGCAGAAACTGAAAAGTTTGGAAGGAATAATAGCAGGGAAGGCAACGTAGATACTAGAGACGGTAAGGATAGAGGTAATACAGGGGTAATGAAGGGAGGGAAGAAGGGGAAAAGGGAAGGGAAAAAAGTACATTTAATTGACAAAAAAAATGAAAAGCTATCTGTTGATGATAATGTATATAGTAATGTCTTTGTCTTGACTGATACACATGGTAGTCGTGCTGGAAAAAAATGTTGTACACTGTAAAGATATAGGTGATTAAATGTGAATTTAAAAAATTAAAAAGGTGACTGTCACCATCACTTCGCCCTCTCTCCCGCATCACTTTCGCCTCTTTCTTCCCCCACCTTTTAAGGGCCTGCCGCTACTCAAGCACAACTAGAGGATAAAGGACACACAGCAGGCGCGAGCGCCGGCTCTGCCCAGGGCACGGACCGGAGGGTGAGCTTTGGGTAGCCCGCGGAACCCTAGCGACCGGGCAGAGGTTGCAGCTCGGCGCCCGGTCGCAGTGGGCCAACGCGCAATCGTGGCGTCGCTTCCGGTCGCGGCTGAGGTGCAGGTCGCCTCCTGAGGTGTGAGGACCCGGCTGAGTTATCCTGCCGCTGCTCCTGGCGGCCCCAAGGAGCACGTGGACACCCGAGAAGCGGGTCAGAGGCTGGCCTTGCGTCTTCGCTGCATCCCCGAACGAATCTGCATCCCAGGTCCTGACCTGCTGTTCGGAAAAGGGGCGGAGTGAAGGGAGGAAACCAGAACTTTAGTGAATGTATTTCTCCCACAGATCCTGTGCGGTTAAACCCTGCGAGCCTACACTTTGGAATGAAAAAATTAAGGCTTAAGGAGCTAGAGAGTCGCCTGCAACAAGTGGATGGATTCGAAAAGCCCAAGCTACTTCTAGAACAGTATCCGACCAGGCCTCACATTGCAGGTAGGGCAGTTGGTTCACTACGCCCTAGTTTTTGGAATTAGTCCTGTCCATTCACTTCTTGATGAAAATACAAGTTATTCAGATACAAAGACTGTGTAAAGATGGGACCCGCAGTTGGTGTAATGGCTATGTCTCTGGACTCCCACGTAGTCAACCGTGGTCCGAGTCCCAGACTTTGTGGCTTAAAACTCTCCGGGCGCGTGCGCATGTGTGCCCAACATGCCGAGAGGAGAATGGAGAAAAGATTGTGGGGTGGCCATCCCCCCTGGGGGGTGATTTCTCGCTTTCTGTCTCTCTCTGGCGAGTGCACGCGCCCTATAGCAAAAACCTCTCAAAAAAAAAATGCGTAAAGAAATTCTTCCCTAAAATTGCGTATCACATTATCATGGCCTTCCTAGACACCAATGACCGCCTCCACCTCGACACACTTCTATCCTTTTCTTGTTTGGTTTTCTGGTACTAACGAATAGTCAGACAGTTTTTTAATATGTTCGTTTCATTGTATATTAACTTCTTGAGGGTAAGAAATGTGTTGCATCCCCAGTACCTAAAAGAGGTGCCGGTACCATTAGGAGATCAGTAAATACAATATTTGCAAAATAAAAAGCAATTTTCTGCTGCAGCATTGCTAGGATTTCTGTGCTATGCATACTCAGCTCTGCCTACTCAGCCCTAGAAATGAATGCCAGAGATCATAACGGAAGGACTAAGCTTTAACAAAACTGGAGAAATATATGCATTTTAATTTTAACAGAGTATCTGAGAATTTGTATTTTTTTGCTTGATGCCAGAGATTGATATTGTTAGTACAGGAAGGATTAGGGAACCAGCAGTTAACGTAATGGCTATGTCGCTGGACTCCCACGTAGTCGCCCAGACCCGGTGGCTTAAAACTCACGCCGGGCACGTGTGCGTGCATGCCCAAGATCCCAAGAGGAGAATGGAGAAGGGATTGC